TGGGTTAGAGCGGGGAGGCTGGGAGCCAGGACTCCTGGGTTCTCTCCTCGGCTCTGGGAGGGGAGTGGGGTCTGGTGGTTAGAGGGGAGGTGGCGGCTGGGAGCCAGGACTCCTGGGTTCTCCCCTCACAGGGCTGACGTCTCACCTACAAGAGGCCCCTCCCCTCCCCGAAACCCAGGTCAGACTGAATCACCGGGAATTCCTGACGTGACATCTGCTGCACCCCCCCACCGGCATTGCTCACGTGCTGCCCCCCCCCCAGGGAACCCAGCCCCCCCCATTCAGGTGGGGTTCCAGGAAGGTGGGGCAGGGTTCTTATTTGGCCCCCACTGGGGCTTCTTCCGCTGTCCCCCCCCTGTGCCCCCTAATATCCCTGCCCTGCTGTGTCAGTGCCAGCCCCCTGCTCCCCATGGGCCCTCTCCCCACAGGCTCTGTGCCTGCTGCCCCCCACAGCCTCAGGCAGTTGCTATGGACCTCTGCAATCCCCTGGCAAGCCCCCCGCAGTGTGCTCCCGGCTCCCCCCCCCCAGCCTGCCCCCGGTTCCCCCCCCCCCCCCCCCCCCCCCCCCCCCCCCCCCCCCGTGCCCCCCGCCCCCCCCCCCGCAGCGTGCCCCCGGCTCCCCCTGCAGTGTGCCAGCCGGCAGAGTCAGGCCCTGCCTGGCGGGGTGTGCGGAGGGGCACGGGTGACAAGCCAGGGCCGTGCCCCATGGCAGGCTGGGGGGGGGCTCCCGGCCTCTCCCAGGAATCCCAGGAATCCTCCTGGCCCCAGCCCAGCCCCAGCGACTCACATCCCGGCTCCCTGTGCCAAGCAATAGGGATCCAGTGTGTGTGTGTGTGTGTGGGTGTGTGTGTGTGTGGGGGGCTGTTAGCCAGGACTCCTGGGTTCTCTCCTGGCTCTGGTAGGGGAGCGGGGGCTGGTGGTTAGAGCAGGGGGGCTGGGAGCCAGGACTCCTGGGTTCTCTCCCCAGCCCTGGGAGGGGAGTGGGGTGTAGTGGGTCAAAGCGGGGGTTGGCTGGGGGCCAGGACTCCTGGGTTCGCTCAACAGCCCCCACGTCTGCCTTTCCAGGAGCCCTTCAGCAGTCCCTCCCACAAGGCCTCGGGCCGCTTGCAGGGCCGGCTCTTGCCACAGGAGGCGAGGAGAGAGCTGCAGCAATCTGCCAGCCTGGGGGGGGGGGGTGTCCAGGGCCTCATGGGAACCCCCAACCCCCCCAACCCCCGAAACTCAGCCAGGGCCACTCATCTCCTAGCAACTGATCTGCCTCGGCCCAGGGCGCCTACCGGGGGCAGAGTCTGAAAGCGCAGGGGGCTCGGCCCAGACCCAGGGACCCCTCACTGGCAGCATCAGTGGAGCTGGGGGGCACAAGGGGGACCCCAGGGCTGAGGAAAGGGAGGAATGTCTCTGACGGGGGGGGGGGCGGTAGGGACGGACCCTCCCTCACCCCATCCCAGGCTCTGTCAGTCGAAGGCAGCGGACGCGTAGGAAGGAAAACTCTTTATTGGATGCCCTGCAGGCAGGGGGTGTGGGGGGTGTGTGGGGGGGCAGAGCAGGGCTCCGGTCCCGTCCCTGCACCAATGGATAATAAATTAAGCATCAACTCGGAGGGGGGGTCGGTGGTGGTGGGTAATCCATCCCCCCAGGGCAGTAACTGGCCCCATTGGCAGCCAACCAGCTGAGGGATGAGACCGCGCCCCCTCTTTCCCCCCCAACATGGGGCGCTAAGGGGCAGGGGGCAAACGGGAGAGACACCACCCCCTCCATCCCCAGGGGCTGTTGTCTGACAGGGTAAAGTTCCTCCTGAATAAATATTTAAGCCCTAGGAGACGTCATAGATAGCAAAATAAACTGTATGTGTGTGTGTGTGCGTGCGCACGCTGCCTGCCTTGTGTGTACTTATGTTTGTGTGTCTGCGAGGTGTGTGTGTTTGGATAGTGCAGATGTGTGTGTTTTGTGTATTGGAGCAGGGGTGTGTGTGTGCGTTTGTATGTTGTCTGCCCGTGTGGCCATATGGATGTGCAGTCTGGCAGTGCTGTGTTGTGTTGTGTTGTGTCGCACCCCCTCTTCTAATCCAGGCCTTTAACAGGCAAAAAAAAAACCCAAACCCTCCAGCATCTCAAGGGTTAACGGATCTATTACAGGGCAGTCTACAGCGCTAGATAATCTATACGTATCTACCTATAGAGTGGATAGGGCCCCTCTGAGCAGCAGCCACTACGGGAGTTCCCAGTAAGGGAAATCTCCCTCTGCCACTAGCACTACGGGGTCTATGACACACAGGGGGAGCATTTTCGATTCCAGCCAGCAGGGGGCGATGGTGTCACCTTCACAGATGCACCCTCAGGCAAGCGCAAAGAACCCAGGTGTCCTGCTCCGGTACCGGCCAGGACTTTCCTTCCGCTCGGCGGCAGGCTCTCGGTGCTAGGGTGGCGCATGGGTGGAACTGACGCCAGGACGCCTGGGTTCTCTCCCTGGTTCTGGGCAGGGAGCACCAGGGTCTAGTGGGTTAGAGCAGCGGGGCTGGGAGCCCGGACTCCTGGGTTCCGCGCAGGGCTCAGTGCAGCAGTACCGCGAGCAGGAGCGTGAGGGTGACGAGGCCAAAGTTGCTGCCGAGGCCAAAGGCTCCGCTGGGGTAGGGGGGACGCGGCTTCCCTGGGGTGTTGGCGTACAGCCAGTCGCTGGAGTTCTTCACAAGCCCCTCCACCGGGTCCAGCCCCAGGGCACTGGCGTTGCCAAGGTGACCTCGCAGGGAGCTGTTGGGCGTTTCCACGGTGATGGGGAAGGAGATGGTTGGCCAGTCCCGGTCGCCCTCGGTGCGCTCCAACGAGCCCTCCGGCTTGGCGACTGTCTCCGGGGCGCCGGGATGGGTCCGTGCCGGGATGTCTTGGCCGACCGGAGCCACTCCCGGGCGCTTGGTGCAGAGGGTCTTATTCTTCCCCCGGTGGGACCCGGCTCCGGCTCCTCCGGCGGCCAGGATGGTGCCGGTGGGGCTGGCTGGGGAGGCGCTGGGCTGGCTGGAACTTCCCTCCTTGTCCTCAGAGAAGAAGCTCTCATTCTGCCTGGTGGCGAGATGGGGGATGTGGACTACGGTGTCGATCTGGTTGCCGGGGGAGCCGGGAGTCGAGCCGTCGGTGCTGTGGGTGGCGCTGCCCTCGGCCACAAAGCTCTCTCTGGCTGACCCGGTGCGGCTTTCGGTGCCGGAGCCACCTGCAGGAAAGAGAGATGGTGAATCGGTGGCGCCGTGGCCAGCTCCTTCGGCAACGACCCCGTCACCGGGGCTCACCGGGCTGCTGCCGGCACCGGACGGTGCATCGGCAGAGCTGTGGCCGTCTCTTTCGGCAACAAAGACCCTGGCACTGAGAGCTGTGCTAGCTCCGATGTGGGCTGACGACTCGGTAGAGCCATCACCGTGGTCCAGCCGCGGGGAGTCGGTGCTGCCGGCGGAGACAAAGGCCTCACCGGTAATGTGGTCCCGGGCAGAGTAATTGGTTTCTTCCTCGCACTCCTCTTCCTCATCGTTTGTGTGGGCCAGGCCGCTGCCGGCTGGAATCTCCCGGGTGTTCTCTGGTGTCTTGTTGGTGTCCGGCTCCGAGCGGCTGCTCCCGTCCAGGACGATGGTAGTGGGGCCGCCTGTAGCCCTGGGATCAGGGTGAGGGATGCCCGTCGGCCGCGCGGGGTTGCTCTCGGAAAAGACCCCTCCTGCACTGAAGGCGTTGTCCCTGGATCCAGCGTTGTCGCGGTCTTCGGCAGACGCGGTCCCGTGGCCGCCTGTTGCCACGTGGCTGGGGCGCGGGGTGACGCCCTGTCCGCCTGTAGGCGACGCGGCATGGTTCCCGGCGACAAAGGCCCCTCCCTCCTCCAAGCCCCGCCCTTCGGAACTCTCGGTGGTCTTCGCCTCCCGGTCGCCGTGGCTCCCTGCCAACGGAGGGTGGCCCCCAGCAACGGGGACCACGTCCTCCTCCTCCTCGTCTTCCTCCAGGATGCAGTCTGGCTTGGGGGTGGGGGCGTGGGTGGGGGAGGGGTGGCTGGGCCGCCCCTCGGCCACCCGCCCATCCATGATGCGGGTGTTACAGAGGCTCCCGGTGCAGCAATAGACCTCGGCGCCGTCCAGCTCCTGCACCAGGGCCAGCAGCGAGCTCTGGCACATGGCCGGGGTGGCGCAGCCCTTAAAGGTCACCAGGACTGAATCGTCGCCACCTGCAGGCAGGAGGGCAAAAGGTCAGAATTCCCCAGAGCCAGCCATCAGCCCGCCCTGGGGCCGGATGGGAGCCGGCGCCCCCCGGAGGGGAAAGCCCCCGCGTCCCAGTCCCCGCCCCGGGGCCGGATGGGAACCGGCGCCCCCCGGAGGGGAAAGGCCCCGCGTCCCAGTCCCCGC